TCTTTTTGGAGTGATAATATCTAGAATTACATGATGGTGATGGTTGGCCAATTTTAATATACTAAAGACCACCTAATTGCACATTCCAAGTGGGCAAATTGCATAGTATGTGAATTATATCAATAAAGTTGATACACACACACACACACACACACACACACACTCTCTCTTATACAGAATGATAACATGTGGTGATTACCTTTACTTACTAGTGAAAGAAATGGCTTAATATATAAGCTGCTCTAATGACATCTAATGGCTAGCAGCCAGGGATGCTGCTAAACATCCTAAAATGCACAGGATATCCCTACGGAACACATTATTTGACCCCAAATTTCAACACTCCAAAACCAAACAAATATATTACAAGAAAACAAACCACAGACCTGTGTCTTTTCATTATAGACATAAAAATCCTCAGTGAAATGTAAGTACATGGAATCAGAAATATATAACAAATGATTATACATCATGACTATTGGATTTATTTCAGGCATATAGGTTTGGTTTAAAAATCTGGAAACCAATTAATCTAATCTCGCTTATCAAAAACTACATGATAGTCCCAATAGACAGGAAAAGCTCTTCGTAAGATTCAACACCCCTTCATAATAAAAACGCTGAAAAAACTACGACTAACGTGGAACTTTCTTGACCTGACAATGGACATTTAAGAAAACCTCACAGACATTAAACTTATCTGTTGTTAAGATACAGGATTCCGGCCGGGCGCGATGGCTCACGCCTGTAATCCCAGCACTTTGGGAGGCCAAGACAGGCGGATCACGAGGTCCGGAGATTGAGACCATCCTGGCTAACATGTGAAACCCTGTCTCTACTAAAAATACATAAAAATTAGCTGGGCGTGGTGATGGGCACCTGTAGTCCCAGCTACTAGGGAGACTGAGGCGGGAGAATAGCATGAACCCAGGAGGCGGAGCTTGCAGTGAGCTGAGATCACGCCACTGCACTCCAGCCTGGGCGACAGAGCGAGACTCCATCTCAAAAAAAAAAAAAAAGATGCAGTAATCCTCAGATCACTCTCTAAGTTCAATGCAATTTTTGTGTCAAATCCCAGCTGGCTTTCTTGGAGAAATTGACAAGCTGATCCTAAAATTCATAGGATTCATATCTCTGTTTCAAAACTTGCTACAAAGTGAGTAATCAAGACAGTATGAAGGGTGGGGTTAAAAGAAAAGACAGTGTGGAATTGGCATAAGCACAGACACATGATCAATGTGATAGAATTGAGAGTCTAGAAATAAACTTATGGACATTTGATTACTGACAATTCAGTGGAGAAAGAATAGATTTTTTTCAAACAAATGGTGCCAAGCTAGCTGTCTGTGCAAGAGAATGAAGATGGAGCCTTACTTCCTGTCATATTTGAGTTTGGAAGATAACTCAAAATGGACCAAAGACCTGTTATGAGTTAAAACTGTTACACTCTTTGAAGAAAACATAAGTCTAAATCTTTGTAACCTTGAATGAGGCAAGGATTTCTTAAGTATGACATCAAAAGCACAAGTGAGAAGAGCAAAAATAGATACGTTGAACTGTATCAAAATAAAAACTTTTATTCTTCAAAGAACACCATCAAGAAAGTGAAAAGACAACCCATTGAATAGAAGAATTTTTGCAAATCATATATCCAGTAAGGGACTTGTATCTAGAAAATATATATATATATAAAAGTCAGTGGTAAAAAGATAACTCAGAAAATGGACAAATGATCCATATAGGTTTTTCTCCAAAGAATATATGCCAACAACCAAGAAGCACATGAAAAGATGCTCAACATCATTAAGCATCAGGTAAATTCAAATCAATGCCATTGTTAGATACCACTTTATACCCACTAGGATGGCTATAACTATGAAAAAAAAAAGGTATTGTCTGGGATGCAGACAAGTTAGAATCCTTGTACATTGCTAGTGGGACTGTAAAATGGTACAGCCATTTTGGAAAACAGTCTGGTAGTACCTCATGACATTTACTATGTGATCTAGCAATTCCACTAGATGTTACTTAAGACAATGAAAATATGATGTCCTCATAAAAAGTTATACAAATGTTCATAAGAGCGTTAGTCATAATAGCCAAAAAGTAGAAACAACCCTAACATCCATCAACTGAAGAATGGATACCTAAAATGTGTTATATGCATACAATAGAAGGTT